TGTCATATTTCGTGAGAATCACCCATATACATATAATATATGGCAAATAAACTTTCATAATTTTTCTTTGTTAAAATTAAAGGTGTAACTCAATCAAAAAAACGAAGACAGAAAGGCCTATGAATACAAAATTTTGTCGATTGTTAATGTAATGGATTGCGTAATGGAAAAAGTTATTAATCAACTTGAAAGCTGAATTCAATTTTCGTATTAACAGTTGAAATTGTTGATCAGATCGCAACCTAGCAAAAATTACGCAAAATGTGTTAAAAATAAACTTATTATTAAAACATATCTCAAATATTTTCATATTCTAAAGGTGATGATTACTTAAAAAGAGTTTTAATCTTCAAATTTAAAATTAAATTTTTTTTAATCAAAAAATCTGGTGCGGATACTTTTCACCGTAAAATATATTTTTTTCTGGAACCCGTTCCAGAACAGTAAATCTAATATACCAGAGTTTTCACAGTAATTACCCTGAAATCACTCCGATTGAATGAATATTACAGCGGTATAATGCATAACGGTAAAATAGGATTTTGAGGTAAAATAAATTTTATGAGTGATACACCCAAAGTTATGATACTTCATATGCATCGTAAATTCATCGTACTATATTGTTATTATAAAGTTCGTACTATATTATTATTTTTAAAATGCAGAGTAGTCATTCTTGAAACTAAAATATTTTAGAATGTCCTGTTTCCCCTGGTTTTGATATTATAAAAAATGTATTTGATATTTCAAAGAAGAAAATTTTACATTTATTTGAGGCATAAAAAATTAGTGAATAAAATTCCAAATTTAAGCTTTTTTTGAGAAAATTTCCTCTGCTAAACTTTTGCCATCTTTGAAAAGTATAATTATTAGTCAAATTTGAATGAATCATTCGTTCATAGCTACTGCAGTATCCTCACTGCTGAGTCAAACTCAAAAACGACAACTGCCCCCTGATGCAGTTGTGAGATTGAGACTGCTACTTCAATTTCTACTTCCGAACTTTGAACTGAAGTGAACAGTAGTTTTACTGCAGTATCCTCACTGCTGAGTCAAACTCAAAAACGACAACTGCCCCCTGATGCAGTTGTGAGATTGAGACTGCTACTTCAATTTCTACTTCCGAACTTTGAACTGAAGTGAACAGTAGTTTCTTTTTAGATATAAACAAGTTCGTTCACGAGATGTTGCTCATCTGATATTATTCTCTCTCGCGATCGTCAGCGAGATATGTTCTTATTTCATGTAACCTTTTATTATTTTATTTTAAATACATTAAAATGTAATATATTGGATTAACTACTATTTCCTTTCTGCTGCATAAAAGACAGGATTGGACTTCGTGATCGGGTCTAAACCTGTACTACTAACATGGATAAAAAAAAAATTAAGTAGATTTTATGAAATAATGTAAAGTTCATGATAGTTGTTGCAAAATATACTAAATGTGTTACACATAGGGAATTTTAGGAATTTTTATAATCATCAAAATAGAAAAACTATAATATTTTCTAGTTATGATTAGCAATAAATGAACTTGAAACGTTATAAATGAGACTCGCTTAATTATGTATTAGTTGCACTTATTTAAATAATAAAGCAAGCAAAAATCCTGTTTCAATAAGAATTTTTTAAGGAAACTTACTAAATTTCAAGGCATTTTCCAAAATTTACAAAACTAGGAGAGTTTTTGTATTAAACCAGTAGACCATCATGAGAAACTGGCAAAATTCAGGAGTTTACTGGAAAATCCAGTAGAGTTGGCAGCTATGCTTATTATACTTTTTTATAAACAAATTTGTCTTACTTTTTAAAATAACCACCATGCAAGAATATAATATTTAGAGCATACATCTATACATAATAATAAACGCGGCTGTGTGTGTGTCTGTCTGTAATCACAATATATCGCCCCAGAAGGCTCGCCCAGGCACGAAACTCGGCACATAATTGTGTTTTGACATAATGAAGGAGTATTTTTTTTTTCTTTTTCAAAAATTTGGATTGGTTTTCCAGTTATCAGTCATTTTGTATGAAAATCTATGTTTTTTCGTCTTCCATATTCAAAAAACTATTAAAAAATGCATATACTTTTCTCCACTCTTATAAATGCATGCTAATGCGAACCATACAATTGAAATATTAATTTTCGACAACTTAAACCAGTAATATACGAAGGAATTAATAATTTAATTGTAAGGTTCGCATTAGTTTACATTTATCAAAGTTTCGTTTGAATTATTTAACAATGAAGATTTGCAAAACAATATTGCTAAAACATGTTATTATTTTACAATTTTTAAATCTCTACTTAAAATGAACAAATGCACTAAAAAGTAATTACGGTAGTAAAATTGATACGTGAACTGCATTTTTAATCATTCACGTGAACTATTTTACTGAAATACAAATAAGTTGAAAGATAAATTGTAAAAGAATGAAACAGAAGAAAATTATTTAATTTAATTCATTTAATTTAAGTCTAATTTATTTCATAATTTTCACTTCATTTCATTTANTATAAAATAGGAATTTAATTGTTTTTGAAGGAACGATCACACTTACCTTGGATCTCTTTGGTTTTTCTATTCTTTATTTTAACAGTTTTTATTAAATGTAATTAGTTATTTTCAGAAAGTTTCAGTTTGCAGGTAAGCACTTAGATTTTAATATTGAAGTTTCATGATTTGCTTTCATAGTAATTGTTGTTCTAAAGTATTCGTTGACTTCTTAAAAACCCGATTACTGACATAGCAGAACCGCCTTCCAAAAAACTTTTGTATATTTTTATATTTTTGTATATTTTTTGTATAAACTTTTGTAATTTTTTGATGACCAAAAAACTTTTTGTATTTTGTCAAAGAAAAAGACATTAAGAGATTCTCAAGGAAGAAGAAGGGCCCAAGAAACGTCTGTGGAACGTCAAAGAAAGATGGAACATGACCGAATTTCGACAAGCAATTCTAGAGACCAAGAAGTATCAGAGAAACGTCAAAGAAGATTAGAAGATGATCGTGTCTCAACTAGCAGTGTTAGGGCCTGAGAAACACCTGAGGAACGTCAAAGAAGATTAGAAGAGGTTCGTGTCTCAATTAGCAGTGCTAGGGCCCAAGAAACATAGCGTGTCGGACAGCTGGTCGCCTTAGGCGGCTAGTATTCATTAAAATCTTGGCACGATTCCTCGTTGAGACATATCTTCCACATTTTGCAGATTTCTTTACATATTTATGCGTATAATTCTGTATGTATTGCAATGTTTTTGAGTTATGGAAATATGTTCGAGTCTTAATGATTTACACTAGTTAATTTTGCTAATTAATAAGTACAAATAACAAACAACCAAAATTAAACATTTTAATTACAAAGTTAAATTATTAACCTATAATCCATTGAAAAATTTTTATTCTAATTGAGAAGCTAAGGACAAAGATTTGAGACTAGTTAAAATGATTTCCAAATGATGGCCAAAGAATTTGAAATTTCAAATGTAATTTCTTTTATAAATAATACCATATTTTTAGGTCAATTATTAAAAAACGATCGTACTGATAATTAAAAAATTATCTTGCTTAAAATAATTATTATCTTTCAAAAATAAATATAAAATCAGTTCTTGAATGCAGGAAGTAAAATTGATAAATTTAAATTTGTAGCCAGTCGAAATATTAAGAACGTGAATTGATGTTAGAAATATGTGAAATAAATTATTGCAAGAGCTATTTACCCTTGATTGAAATTTAGTTGAAATAATAAAAACATTTTGTAATATATTTAAAAAAATAGAATAAATTTATATTCGTAATACTAGGCATTTTAAACTGTAACGTATTTAAAAATAGTTTTCAAAATATTACTAATAAATTTATTAAGGAAAAGAGTAATATAGAATAGAATAAAATGTAATTATTATTCAGAACGTAATGTAATTATAAATCGAAATTTATAAAAAACACATGCTTACAAACTAAAAAGTGATAAAATTATTTATATCATAATTATTTTTTTCAAAAAAATTAATGAAATACGTTTTTTTTTTTAAGAAAGCTATTGTTTCATTTATCATTTAAAGCAGATAAAAAATAGCAATATTAACGGTTGGTATTAATGATTAATTACATGGATTGGTTGAAATTAGAATAGATTTATTAATAAAACATATAAAAAACCCGCCATTCAATAAATTACCTTTGCATTAAGCAATTAAGAGTCCTTTTAAAACTAAATTTTATTTAAATTAAGTTAATTAAGTGATACTGAATTTCATTTGAATTAATTATTTTAATATATTATATTTACTTTTACTGGTTTATTTAAAGCAGATAATAAATAATGATTATGAAAAGCGATTATAAAAAGATATAATGAAAATCTTTATGGTAATTGATTAAAATAAAAAGATTTATAAACAGAAAGTTTTTTTCGCAAACTAAACACGAAAAAAAAATGATAAAATGATTAAATTAATAAATCAAGGAATTCAAAAAAATTAACTTTGCTTAAGAAATTGCGATTACTTCAAAAATTAAAGTTCATTTAGATTAAATTAATTGATTACTATTGAATTTGATACTAATATATTTTATTTAAATGCGTCAATTAGTATTTGACTGTGTAATTCATTATTCAATCTTAGATTAAAAAATCAATAATATTTATCAAAACTATAATTAAAAAACTATTTGCAAATAATTTACTAAAGCTAAACAACTTACAATTTGTTTGTCATTTGACTAAATATTAAAAGTTCAAGTAATATTTGCATGGAAACCAAATTTGTTAACAAAAGGCAAATAAAAAAATAAAAAAACACAGTAATATGATAGTTATTGTACTAATTCAATTATAAATTACGCTTAATGTTAGTTGCTTATGGAGCGGTAATATAACCCAGTTGCTTGCAAATGAATATAACGTTTGAATAAATATAAATATAGCAATTCAAATATAATTTAATAACTCATAATTATTAGATAAAGAATTAATGCAAACATAGTCCTTACCAGAAAATACTTGATTAGTATTCCTCTGAGAGAAACGCACAACACTGTGGAAAATGGAAAACTGAATTACTACCCCTGACGTCGGTACTCAGTTCAACACCAAACCACCCACTGCGTTTAGTTCACTGTAGTAATAGTGATTTCCTATTGGTTAGTATCTGTTTGAAAGATTCAACGTACTTTCTGACGTTAGATAGAAGGTGGATCCAATGTATTCGATAACTATCCAAGCAATAAAAACCAGTTCTTTTGAAAAATTCCAAACATTGAAATACAGGGAAAGCAAAAGAAATGCAAAAGTCAAGCTTTTGCATTTCTGAGATCGAAGGGAAATATTTCATACTTCAGGAAAATTTTAAATAATTTTCTAAAAGGGTGATAAAATTTTGCTCTTGAACTAAGAATAATGGAGAAAAATTTAGACAAAAGAAAAATTATAATCATATATAGATAATTTGACTAAATCTAAATACTTATTGAGTCTGGCTATAACAGGGGTTTCCAACTTACATGAGGCCGGGGGCTGCTATTAAAAGCACCAGTCAAACGGCGGGCTGCAACTTTATCAAAATTTTACATAGGACTCTTTTATGTTTGAAGGAACATTAAATATTACTGTCAGATTTGTATCAATGTTTTTATAACATTAAAAAGCAAAATAACAAGCATCGCAAATAATGCTTGTTACGTATCATTTCGAATCTTCTTTTAATCAGAAACTTAGTGACAAGATTTTTTTTTTCTTTTAAATTTAATTCTGTGATAAATTAACATTTATTTTCAACTTATTAGGAATTATAGCAACAACAAAAACATTTTCGAGCATCTGAAATTAAATTTTCTTTCTTTTCCGCTCGTGCGATATTCAATTTAAGTAATTTAGATAAAATATCTTACACGTTCTTACACGACACGTTCTTCTCTATCTGACACGTTCTTACAATTTACTACTTTTATGTTCAGCACAGCATTTCCGGCTTTTGCGCCATTAAATTAATTGACTAGATTTAATTTTAAAGCTTATGCTTTGGAGGTTAATGAAGACACAACACAAAATATTATTTTAATTACATCTACCTGTATAATAATAATTCTAATGAATATTGAAAAAGTGTTCAAATATAATTTTAGTATTAATTATTAAATGTCTTTCTCTTTTGACAAAGGAGAGATTAAGAGTGGGGAAAAAAAAAACAAAAGCAATCTCCTTGAGACAGCACCATTTTAACAGATGGTGGGGTTTTATATTGATACGGAAACGTTAATTGTTTTGTAGAGTTTATTTAGTCTGTATTACGACTTCTAGTAAATCCCGGATCATAGTGAGATCTCCAGATATGAAGTTACAGACTTGAAATGCCATTCTTTCCACTTAATTAAAACCTTTGACAAATAGCTTCTAGAGCAGGGGTTTCCAACTTTCAAGAGGCCGGGGGCCGCTATTAAAAACACCAGTCAAATGGCGGGCCGCAAGTTAATCAAAATTTTATATACGACTCTTTTTGGTTTGAAAGAACATTAAATATTACCGTCAGATTTTTATCAAAGTTTTTTTAATATTAAAAAGCAAAATAACAAGTATAATGCTATCAATCATTACAAATATTGTTACTGTTATCATTATAAATAATGTTACGTATCATTTTAAATCTTCTCTTAGCCAGAAACTTAGTGACAAGATTTTTTTTCCCTTTAAATTTAATTCTGTGATAAACTAACATTTTTTTCCGGCGTATTAGGAATTATTGCAACCACAAAAAAATTCTAGAGCACCTGAAATTAATTTTTTTCTCTTTTCCGCTCATGCGATATTCAATTCAAAGAATTTAGATAAAATATGATATTCATTCCCTCTTTAATGTGTTTTAAAATTTACAAATGTAAATAATTTCGTCCAAAATGTGTGTTTTCAAAAAGTTAAATGGGAGAATTTCTTCAAGAAAATTTCTGATACGCACATGCTAATTTATATTCACAAAATACAAAAAAAGCGCAACATACACGATTATTTTGTATTTGAATAAATATTTTCGTGGATGCAAAACCTGAGACATAATTCTTTTTGCACCATTGGTATGTTAAATTTCCCAAAAACGAAGAAATTAGGTTTCTTTAAATGAATTAAAAGTATTGTAAACCCATATAGATTTTTTATGAAAATTGTCCACAAAAAAACAACAATATATTTTAGTTCGCGATCACAAAAAAAGGCTTCACCGGATGCGTCCTATTGGGTCTCCGGTTGGTAATCACTGCCCCATAAGAAAGGCTTATAACTTATGGATTCCGACCCTGTTTGGGTTTAATTGTCTATTTCTTTTTAATTTTTAAGTTAAGTGATACCAATGTATTTAAACGGAATCTTAATTAATTCCAAGCTTAATTAATTTCTTTCTTATAAATGCATTTGAAGGTATTTGTCATTTCTTGAACAATATAAATGTAATAATTACCAATAATTACAATTTCAAATTATAACGCATACAGCAGCATTTAATTCATCTATCCAAATTTTATGCAAAATTTCATAATGTGAGTGAATTTGGATATTACTCACTTTTGGCAAAGTATTGATTATTTGAAAATACTAATAATGATTTCTTTAGAATTTTTGAGCGCTAAGCACTTTTTATTTCAAGTTCACAGTTTTACTGTCAATATTATATGTAATATTGTTATATTTTAACAATCTATTCTAAAGTAAAACGGCGCATTAAAAAAAAGTATTTCAGCATTAATTTCGAGTTATTTCTCTCGTTTCCCCCCCCCCCTTCCTTCTAACTGAATTTATTAATATTTACCATTTTATTTCTTCGCGCTGTCGTGCCACAGGTCCCTGGTTCGATCCTCGGGCCGGGCAAGGCAGACTCAGCCCTTCATCCCTTCAGTGGGTCGATAAATGAGTACCAAGCATGCTTGGGAACACTGGGGGTTCCTCGTTCGTCTGACCACCTGACCGGAACATCTGCTCCTGCACCCCAGAGCCCAAGGTGAAGAAAACTGAGATGAGCACAGTAGGCCTTAGCCCTCTGTGGGCTGTCGCGCAGCTGAGTTCAGTTTTTATTTCATCAGTAAATAAGATAGTAGCTTGAAGACGTCTTTGTTTCATTTCAAGTAAAGTTTTTTTTTTTTTTGGTAAAATTATTTGAAATGCCGTTAATTTTCCTTTTTACATTTAAAATTTTCTCCACAAGTCAAATTTGAATAAAATAATTATCCCCTTTACTGCGAGTTGCCTATTACAACAACTGATATATGAAGTACCGTTTGCTATTCCATAGAAGCAATGTCATTTTAGAGCAGATTAGAACGTTTGAACTGGACTGTTCGTCCCCCTAAACCGAAGATATTTTATCGGATATGACACAATGAATGGAATAAACAGTTTTTATATTTTTTGGGGCCCTGGACATGTCATTATTTCTGAGCCCTTTATGATCCTACAAGACATCATATTCAATTTTCAAATGATTCAATCTTTCTTTAAAAAAAAAAGGAAAAAATAAACATATGGAGACAATAGCTCAATGCTCTAAAAAATTTTTATTTTCCAAGCATTGTTGAAATATTTCGTTCATTCTTTCATCAATACGCTTTTTTCACATTGAGAATGAAAATTCAAAAACAAATTATTCTACTGAACTTCAAATTATGTTTTTCAGTCAGAGAGAGAGTTTTAAAAATTTCGTAAGAATATTTAAAAAAGAAATGGGTCATTTTCTGGGCCGCATGCATAAGTGGTGAACATTCAGTTCATATAACATAAATATTTAATAAAATTCAGAATTGACTGCTGTTAATGTTATTCGAACGTTCCCCCTTCTTTCGAAATGCGCCCTGCCCTCACAATGTTTTTCTACTATCCAAGAAGCCTGTAGAAGTGTTTCTCCTTTACATCACTAATCACAAGGAGAAAGTAACATTGCCTGCTATTCCTTTTTAGCATTTCGTTATTTGGTAGGAAAAAAAATATCCAACTTACGAAATACTGCTATACATTATAAACTTCTGATACACAGAAATGTCTTACAAATTACATTTATACCTCAAAACTAAATTACTTATTTAATCTGTAGTAGATTTCTCAACTTAAGAGGCCTCTACCTTACCATTTTAGATTTTTAGCTAAATTTTTGATTTTCCTTTTCTTAATATTTAATTATTTATTATTTTTGTACTTAACAAATTTTTGATGATGTAGTATTATCCGGTGACACAATACCTTTCAAAAGAAGAAGAAAAAGAAAAGGAAGAAAAGAAAACAAAATGTGAAAATTAAGGAGTTGCTTAATTGATTATGAAAAATAGTGATAGGTCATTTTCAGAACTTCTTTATATGGGTCATTCTCACAAAAACAGTCATTTTCATGTCCCCAGTACATTTTATGTTTGTTTTATAACTGGATTTCTGGGAATTTCTGGGAAAGTGTCCTTCAGAATGCAGGCTAACAAAAGAATACAAATAAAATTATATATATTTTTTTTTTATATTTATTTTAGGTAATTAAAATGTACCAATATGTCATTCCCTCACTTGTCCCCACTGTTGATTTAAAAAAAGAAAAAATTGTTTCTGAAATAAAAATAAAAAAATTTGCAGGAAGCTGTGAATAGTTTTTTAAATAATTTGAGTAATAATGATTTTAATTTTAATTTTTGTAATGTTAATTTTTTTATTAAAAAAATGATTGAAAAATTCTAGGTTTTTATATTTTTTTCTTTTATTTATTCAATTCAAGTCTTAACTGAGCAGCCCCAGTTAAGCATTCTATTAATTTGTTACGTATTTCTTTCTCTTGACATTCTTCATTTTATTCTTCATTTGCGCATTGTAATAGAGGGCGTTGTTTTCTTTAGGTTTTAGTTTTTTCTTTTCATTCGGTTTGCTTGTGAAATTGATGTTTGACCTGTGAATATGAGAGTTTTTATTTTCCTGATGATTTTGTTTGAGTTTCTTTTCTTAATTTGTTATTTATATTGCATGTTTTCTTTCCTGGACTTCTATACAAAACCATCGGGGTACTGAGGGAGTTAATTTAAGCATTTGCTTCTCCCTCA